AGAAGACACCAGGTCAGCCCCAACGTGGTGGCCACCTCTGTTGGAGCCCTGTCCACACCTTGGCGTGGTTGGGGTGCCCTGGAGGTGGACCCAGGAACCAGGCAGGGTCTTACCACCGACTCCCGCGTCTCTACGACCCTGTGGGAGGGGTTCAGGTCACTCTTGGGTTGGTCAAAGGGAAGGCAGTGGTGGGATCCAACACCCTCAGCTTGGCTCATGGACCTCCCAACCACTGCTCCACAAGGGTGTAGGGCTCCTCCCAAGACCTACTAGCCACACGAGGCTGGAGGTCACCACATCAAGCCCATGGGTGGCTTGGCTTTGCTCTCCAAAACTCATTTGCTGGGGGCCATGTGCCACCCAAGTCAGGGTGGGATGAGCAAATTTTCTTGTGTGTGTGACCCTCTCTGGCCTTCCAGGACCACAAATGGAACATGAAGGCCAAAGAGGAGGTCATAAAGGCCATCAAGGAGGTGGTAGGGCAGATAAAGGGGTCATGAGACCCACAGATAGGTTGCAAAGGACAACAGATGGGCTGGGAAGGCCAAAGGGTGGAATGGGAAGGCCAAGGGGTGGAACGTGGAAGGTTCCAAAGCAAAATAGGTTGGAGAAGACCTTTAAGACCCTCGAGTCCCACCCAACGGCAGCCAAGGCCACTAGGGAGCCACGTGCAGGGAGAAGGTGGAGTCCTGGCTCACGCACGTAGAGGCTTTGGTGCTCTTTGCCGTAGAAGGTGAAGGGCGTGGTGAGGGAGATCTTCCCTGATGTCCCATCATCCAGCTTGGGGGTCTTCTGGTCATGCTGGTCCAGACCGTAGGGGTAGAGCAGAGATTCTACAGGGAAGCAGAAGCTGAGGGATTGGGGGACCAACCTCCCACCCCCACCCCCTGCAACCACTTTGGGGTGAAACCTGTTGGGTTTGGGATCCCTGAGGTGAAACGGGACCTGGTTGCTCAGGGGGACCTGAAACCACGGGGTTGTCTTCTCCTGTGTGGCTGAATGGCCCCGGGGGAGTCGTGGGCAGATTTGGGGACAAACGGGGTGAAAACAGAACATCTGATTTCCACCTACCCCCCCCCACGAAGCTCTGCGCCCTCCCTGCTCCTCAAACAGAAGGTGGGGCAACCCCATTTTGGGTGGAAATACCCCAAAATGAAGGTGAGAAACCCCCCCAAATCCCAGCACCCACCTTTCTCCCGCACCGGCTGGAAGTCCACCACGGCTCCTGCAGGAGGCGAGGGGGGGGGGGGACGTTAACCCAGGAGCAGCCAGCACCCAGCAGCACCCTCAGGAGAAAACTGTCCTTATTTTCTGAAACCTACCCGAAATCAGGAGCAGGAAGAGAGAGAACGGCTTCATCCCTGCTCCCCAAAACCGTCAAAATCCTGGAAAAGTCCAAAAAAAACCCCCAAGCAACAAGACGATGAAGGAACCCGACGATATTCTGGAGGAGAAAAGTTCCTCAGAGATCTTCTGTTCATGGTTTTTTTTTTTTGAGAGGAGGGCTGGGTGATTTTGCCCAGTTTTTGAAAGAATTGGTTCAATTCTTTCAGATTTAGGAACGTTTTAAACTCTCAGGAAGTTTTTCTTGTTCTTGCCGACGGAGAGTTGAGAAAACGGCAATTTGTGAGTTTTTTAACCCATAACACCCCGTTTTAACCCAACCCAGGGACCCTCCTGATGAAATCACCTCCCCCACATCCCCCGCAGTAAAATTTGGCAGAGATTAGAGGGGTTTTGGTAAAAAAATAAATACAAAACCAAACCAAACCACCAAAACAAACCACAGTTGGTGTTTTGCTGACAAATGAGAAACTGAGGCAGGAGGGGGGGAAGTAAACTGAGGCAGGAGGGTGGGAAGTGAAGGGGATGATTTGATGAGGATTTGGTAAAATAAATTCCAGGTGAGGAGCAGCCAGATCCTCCTCTGAGTTTTTGGGGTTTCTGCTCACTTTTAGGCTGTTTGAAGAGAGAAAACTCAAAGGGATGCAAATGTAAAGGTCGAATGGATGCGAATTTAAGGTCAAACAGATGCAAATTTAAGGAATTTAGAGAGAGGCTTTAGAGGAGCGCCAGGAAATCGAAGCTCTTACCTCGACACCTCACGGTGTCCCCAGGGAAAGGAGAAGAAGCGGAAAAAAAAGCCACTGCCTCGAGCTCGGCCACCAAAAAATGCCTTTTCTGCCCCATCCTGCTCCTTCTTTTAACACGCGGGTTCCCGTCCCCCCCCAGCCCGTCTCCACCGTGAAAAAAATGCCGTAAACGCGGCGGAATTGGCCAAATTTCTGCCCGTCAGAGGCTGCGTGGATCTGCAGCTCCTCAGGATGATGGATCTGGGGACACGGGGGATGTTTTGGCTGCTCTGGATGTTTTTTTGACCCTGAGATTAAGGTTTTTTTTGGCAGGAGGACGCGGCGATGTGGAGGGGGTTGAAGTTCTCAGGAATTCCCTGTCGAGATATTTCTAATTAATCTCTGAAATAAAACCCCTCCACCCTGCCCAGAGGCAGCAGAGAAGGGGTCAAAGGGTAAAACGCGA